AGATTCTTAGGAGAAACATGATCGAATCTCCTACATAAAAGTCCCAGTATAGTACTGCAAAAAGTCCGACGCTACCGGTGCGGACGGCATGCTATGTTGCACCGATATCTACTAGTTCCACATTTTTCCGATCACCGTTTTGTTATCTACGATTGCATTAGATTTTACTTGGACTTTTCGAGAATATAGCGCAATCAAATTTTAATGCGAGCAGATAATGCTCTGATCTTGTTATAATCTCTATCTGAAAAGGAAAGATCAGTATAAATAGCGAGTCAGGTGGTAAATTCAGAGGATGTACACAGTAAATTCAGCTCTCTGATCCCTTATAGGTCTCATTTTCTCTAATCACAATTCTACACAATCGGGTTGCTGGACATGTTTTCTTTCGAAACACATCTTTTTCACACATTAACTCAGTCCGTATGTGTCAATCAAAAATTGAAAAGCAACAACTTTTGATACACAGTTTAATAATTGATTATTTTTCAGCGTTTTCTTATTGTTTATTTAGATGAATTTTGTGTTATTAGAACACATCCTCCACATTATCTTATTTTTCTATAGATGTAAACAAATCAGCGCGTAAAAATAAGACTTGTTCGATAAGAATTTAGAAGGTACGCTTGCGTATATTTGATCATTTTTCTTTGTATGTATTCAGAATGTATATGTTTATTCTCATTGTTAGACAGTATGGAATTGTATGTGTTCGCCACTATTAACTGCGTGTCAAGGTAGTGATCCAAAAAGTAATCAAAGTACGTAGTAGAAACAAAAACAACTGTCATTTGGCCGTTATACATTTTATATTCTTTTCTAGGTTTTACTGATACTAAACCATTAACAAATTCATCACAACCACAGCAACAACAACATAGTTCATATACGCCACCTGTTCAACAAAATACTGGAATCACACAGCCAGGTTCACAGTTAAACCAAGCATCTACGACTCACATCTAGTGATCAAGTATAACAAGAGCTAATAATGTATACCAACAACTAATGGTCACAATATATGGCTAGCAATTATACTGAAGATAAAATTGGCTCATCGATGTAAATAAAAAAAAGTTATAAAATCACATTGTTATTTGTTGTTACTTAGATTGAATAAAATGTATGTATTAAATTCAAAAGAAAACGGTGCATTTGAACATAATTAACTTACCACGAGCGAAAGATATTTTACTTCTATTATATCTAATTCAGTACGCATCACTCAAATCTTTGCAGAGATCGTTTTTGTTACACAAATCTGCAAAAAACGTCTTCAAAACCTCTTTTTATGGTTATTATTTGTAATATACATTCGCCAGTTTTATTCTATATTTTGAGTGATTATATATGTCACACGATTGTTGGCAACATCTTTTAATTAGTAGACGGCGATGGTGGCTTCATAAGATTTCATCTGCTACTTTTTTTTGTCATACAATAAATTGAAAACTAGATGAGATGCGACGTTTTTCTACCACAATATTTTCTGGTTTTTTCGATTAGCGTGTCAGTATGATGTCAGATATTTCCAACAGATTATTTCTGGAATGATCACGTTGGTCTTAAGTATGTCTTGATCTATTTCTAAGCTTATGATAAAACATGTGAAATAAGAAAATGCAAATTTGCTCAACAAATGCACAAATGTCTACTTCGAACGTAGTGTTCTAAAACATGACAACGATTTCAAAGGAAATCGTTCAACAATATGTCACTTGCAAATAAATCTGTCAAGGAAACAAAAACGTTCTACTCGATCGATTCTATGCTTCGCTTCTAAAAGTCGAATAATTCTGCTGTTTCATACAAGTTATACTTTAAGGCATAGTAGTGATTTTTAACTAGAGTTTAATATTAGTGAACTATTTTAAGACGAAACACACTAACATACATATGTATTGAATTACTTTCCGCTTCTTTTAATCAGTCTTTACAACGATGTATCGATTGCGAATACAGTTCAGTTCAGATAACTGTGTGTCTAGGCTCAGGCAATTTCTATGCTAAATGTGCTGCGATGTTCATTTTCGAAAACTAAAAATACGGACTGTTGACGTCTTTATCATCTAATACGAAGGATTCTTCAGCTTGGCAGGTTAACTGACAGAAAGGACTTAGTGATTCTGTGAGACTTTTATGTATTAATTCGCGGTTTTAGCTATCCTACTGAAACTTCTTGTATCCCAAGACCTTGAGTTAAATTCAAGAAGCCAAGATCTTGGTTATAAGAAATTTTACGAGGATAGGGTCTTTTATTTTCTACGGAGAAAAGCCGCTCCTATTTTTGAAAATTTTGGAAACGAAAAATGATGTTCTGTAAACAAGAATGGAACTTTTCTGATCTGTTCCGTTTCACATCTGTTGAAAAAGAAACCCTCATAGCAATATGAAAAAAATATGAGAGATGATAAAAGATGTTTTATTACACTCTAAAAAAAAGTTGTTCTTCAGGTCTTCAACGAACAGAAAAATCAATGGGAATTTTGTTTTTCATTTGTTCCAAATAAGGATCTCAAATTCTGTTTTTCATTTCAACAAAAATGAAAAACAAAGTTTGAGTTCTTTAGAGCTGAAGAACAGAATTTGAGTTCCGTATTAGGGACAAATGAAAAACAAAATTCTCATTGATTTTTCTGTTCTTTGACGACCTGAAAAACAATCTTTTTTAGGTGTGTATGTAGACAATGTACGTTTATTTGCACTAGACTTGAAAATCGGCTAATCAACATCCATCAAGTCTAAAGTAGAACTTTAAGGCTGTCAGAAATCACTAATACCGTCGTGCAGAGTACACTTTTCTATATATGGATCTGTATCTTGTTGATCTCGTAGTGCGTATTAAATGAGAAAAGGGCACTAGGTGTTTATGAGTATTGTTGAAGAGATCAAGAGAATTAGCATAAAGGGTATGAATGAAAATATTTTAAAATACGTGCCCTACATGCTTTAGCAGAGAAAAGCGAGCGCTATCTGATGAACTTCTCAGAATTTCTTTACATCATATCGATCTTATGAAAAGTAAGGTGGCACAGAAACGTTTTTCGATTAATTTATACATGATTCGATAGAGCTGGTTCAGCTGAGTAAGAATACGTCATTTACAATTCTTTTTCAACCATGTTTTAGGTGCGAAATTTTGACAATACAAGTTCTTCCAAATATCACGAAAAAAATGATGAATTTCGAGAAAATTCAAGCTTTCGCCTGTTTGTGCAAACTCTACTTACGAGGGGATCTCGCGAACAGTCACATCGCTTTTTCAGCCAAACCTAGTGGGTTATAGCTTATCAACTATGTAGGATCCAAATATCATAGTGCTAGCTGCTCAGTGAGCGGCTTTCTGAAAAACCAATCTTTCCGAAACTCTAAAAGATAATTAAAACCTTTCTTAATGAAGTGTGATTGTGGTCCGCATATTTCGGATTAAAATGAGACGTCTCCCAGCTCTACACGATCTTTCTTTGCAAAGTGATAGAATTTACAAGAAAAGCCCTAAATGTTTATTGTCAGCTCAAAGTCATAGAAATAAGAAGAAATTAATTTAGGGTTTTTCTTGTAAATTCGATAATTTTGCAAAAAAAGTTTCAAAAATTCTTTTCATCGGGTCGATTAATTTGATAAATG